AGCAGGGACCCCAGACGTGAGAGATCACATCTGCACCCTATGCCCACTCCGTGGACAAGTGCAGAATTCACCCAGAGGACTGACGGACAGAAGAGCCTCATTCCTCTCCCGAAGCTCCTAATGCCCCCACCCCCAGAGCCCTGTCGCATCTCCTTCCTTTTGGTGTGAACAGGCAAGTCACCCAAGCTCTCTGTGCCTCAGTTGCTCCATCCATGAAATGGGAATTGTAACTGAACCTGCCTCAAAGGTCGGTGTGGGAATTCAGGGAGACTTGGCCCAGTGCCTGGTAAGAGCAAGAGCTCCAAGAGGAGCCAGACCACTGTCAGTCTTTCTCATTACACTTAAGGTCCTTGAAGCCAGGGCCACAGTGGCTTTCCGGATACCAAGCCTATTGCCCAGGACTATGCTAGGAAAACACAGACGATGTCGAGGGGCGGGGTCATTAACCTCCATCTGGGTCAGTGACAGAGTGCAAGTTCTGTGGGGCCAGCGGAGGATACCCCAGCTCCAGGGACCTAGCCTCATTCCCCAGTGTCCACCAGCTACAGCGCCACGGGCTCCTCAGCCTAAAAGAGAGAAGACTCGACAGTGACCCCTGTGGCCAGCCACACCCTTCTGCCTTCCCTGCCACTGCCCAAAGCCCTGGGTCTCAGTCCCCACCCCCCTGGAACAAGCCACACTCCAAGTCACAGACACAGCGCACTAGGGCAGCTAGAGGCAGGACCCGGAGATGAGACGTCCGACTTCCAACCCCAGCTTTGGACCCATGTCTTGAACACAGAGCACATCCCTCCTCTTCTCCAGACCTCAGTTTACCCATCTGGAAATTGAGGGTGGGGGTCAATCTGATCTCCAGAGCCCATCAAACTAACAATGCTGTCTGCATCCTTAGGTTCATTGATTCACTCAGGCCACAGGTAAGTGCCCACTGTGGACCCAGCCCTTGGCTGGGCCCCTCCATTGCTGTTCTCGCTGCTAGAAGATCCCCCCTCTTCCTGGTCTCCAGGTCTCAGCTTCTCACTTCCCAGACCAGCCTTGGACCTTGGACCTGCCCTCCTCCAGCCGGGTCCTTCCAATCACAGACTTAGCTCTCAGTATTTTCTGGTCTATTTAGCTTGTCTGCTTCCTTCTGGATCGCGGCTTTTTGAAGGAAGGCAGAATCACGTCTTGTTCCCTGACCCATTCCCAGGGACTCCAGAGAAGGATTCTGGAAGTATCTCTCAGGCAAATGAAAAATGAATGAACGAGTGAATTCCAAGTTTCTCTCCCCCTTCCTCCAACACAACACCCCAATACAGTTTTTTGCCTATGGACCCCTCCCCCAAGTCAACCCCCAGGAGCCAACAGGGCAAATCCCACTGTGGATCAGGAGTCTTCCTAACCATGTCCCCTGCCCCCAAGCCCAGGTGACCAGAAGGCGTCCACAGACATATGTGCACTTGTGAAGAGTTAACTGCTCTGATGGAGGGCTGACACCACCTGGGGTTTGATGGGAGCCCAGGTCCCCAGTGGTTCCATGCCCTAGCTCCATGCTGTCCCAGCAGACACTCAGTAAATATTGAGGCATTAATTAACTTCCTCCAGGGAACAGTGACTCAGTGCCAGATGTAATCTCCCCAGCTCCAGGGGGAAAGGTGAGATCCCCAACCTTTCTCAGGTGCACAGACAAATAAAGCCAGCCCTTCATCCTTGTCTCGTTTGGGCCTATCCCCCTCTGTGGGGTGCAGATCTGAGGGTACCTTCTCCTGACATGTGTGCACACACATTCTCACACACATGCACACACTCACTGCCCTGATCCATCATGGTCCCCTGAACCTTTATGCATCCCAACAGACGCCTGGCACGCAAACCACCCATTCTATAAACATTTGTGAATTCCTACTATGTGCCCCCCAAGCCACACCACTCCCCGGGCACCAAATAGTTCAGCTGTTCCATTGCCTCCTTCAGCAAGGTTTATTCTGACGACAGCTGTGGCGTCTCCCCTTCCCAGCCCACCTCAAAAAAGACCAAGGGTTTTCACGAAGCTGCACAACTGCTGAGCCCTCCCCATTAGCCCACTTCTCAGTTCTTGAGAAAGAGGAGAGACGGAGTGTGGGTCCCCAAAACACCCAGAGGATGGAGCCACCCAGAAGACGCTGACCATTCTCAGCTGGCCCTAGTGAATGAAAGGAACTTCAAAGAACCCCAAACTCACCTTGCAGGGGACTAGGAGGTGCCATGAGGAGCTTCCCACGTAAGGGGCCTGGTCCTTCTGCCCCCAACCTGTAGCTGGAAATCCACCTCCATCCCTGCCCTGTTTCCCCATCGGGGACCCTCAGAGCCATGTTCTGGGGTACAGTTCTGAATGAGGGGCTGAGGCTGGAACTGACATTTGTTTCTTTGTGGGTCCTGGTCCCAGAGCACTTGGCAGTAAAGTGGTGGGGGTCGAACAAACCAAGGTCACATTCGCCAAGAGCTGGGCCCTGAGAACTGGCCTCAGCTCCACGGACAGCGGAAGCTGATTTGGAAGAACCTCTGGTGAACTCCCGCCCTGGAAACAGATGGGCTTGGGCTCAGATCCTGACTCTACCCCTTGCTGGTATGTGACCTCAAGCAAGGTACGTAAACTCTTCGTTTCCCCCAATAAACACTGGGCCACGACAGAAAGAAGGCCTGAAATCAGTGTTGATAAATATTTTCGGGAGCTGTGGGCTTGCAATGTGCCAGACACTGTGGATCCCAGACCTCACTGTTGCATACAGAGTCCTCACAGCTGTAAAGCTGGTAAGAGATCCCAGTTCCCTCTGCATGCTAGTGATGTCTCAAAGGTGAACTTCAAACATAAAGAAAGTCTTTTTTTTTTTTTGAGACGGAATCTCACTCTGTCGCCCAGGCTGGAGTGCTGTTGTGCCATCTGGGCTCACTGTAAGCTCCGCCTCCCAGGTTCACGCCATTCTCCTGCCTCAGCCTCCCAGGTAGCTGGGACTACAGGCGCCCGCCACCACGCCCAGCTAATTTTTTGTATTTTTTAGTAGAGACAGGGTTTCACCGTGTTAGCCAGGATGGTCTCGATCTCCTGACCTCGTGATCCGTCCACCTCAGCCTCCCAAAGTGCTGGGATTACAGACGTGAGCCACCACGCTGGGCCATAAATAAAGTATTTGTGCGCCTTTAAGACAGGCACCAGGGAAGAGAAGGACAGTGTATTTTTACTTCTACGTGTTATCACCTGAGCAAGTTCCACAGCCCTGGAGGTCTGTATCACCAATAAAATGTAGGTAGGACATCCTTTATCTGAAGTCCCCTGAAATTTCAATCATGGCTTCTCTGGGAGGAGGCCTGGATATGTGCCATGGGTCACAGGGGCCCAAACCCGTTTGAGATTGTTTGAGGGGGCCACGGGAAGGACAGAGCACCAGGCCCGGGGCCATGTGATCTTAGGCAAGTCTCACGCCGTCAGTGTCTGAGTTTCCTTATAGGAAAAATGAGGTAAACATCTGCTAACTCTGTTTTCGCTCTCAACGCCTGGCATGGAGTAGATGCTAAGAAACTGTTTGTAGAAACCTTGGAAATTCTTAAGACTAAAGAAAGACCCAGAGACCACAGGGTGGGCTAGTGGGTCTCTCCACTCCCACCAAAGGATGAAGTAGGTGCTGAGAACTCAGAACGAAGCCCCAAAAAACAGACTCAGAAGCTCCCCTAAGGAGGAGGTGAAACAGCAGGACATCTGCTCATGGGCCTCCCCTGACTCCAGCCCCACAAGGTCCACCTATCTCTGGGAGACTCTCAGACCTCGTTGATCCTTCAGAGGTCCACTCATGGGACCCTCCTCAGGCAAACCTCCAGACCACTTCCAAGAGCCTCCCGAGCTGTCTGGGCAGCCTCCACCCCAGGCACCTTTGAACCCCGCTGGGAGCGGCAACCAGCCCCCTTCAGACCTGTTGGTCCAGATAGAGCGCCCCCAGGAATCAGCAATCCTGTCCCTCTCTTCTCCCATTGTCTCAGTCCCCAGCTGCGAGGAGGTGGCCCCTGAAGCGTTCAGGATAAGAAGGAAAACTGTGTCAACAGAAGTTAAGTCGGTGAGTTCCCGAGCCTTTGGTATCCACCTCCCGTCTGGAGCGCAGGGTCCTGTCCCAGCTCCTAGCTCCGCCCCCTGGGAACTGTATGGTTCCTCAAGTCACTCCACTCCTCCGAACCTCAGGCCCCTCCTCTACAAACGTTAGAGTGAGGCATTCGGGGAGTTGCTGTGAAGGGCCTGCCCCATACTAGGCCCATAATAATAGTCCCTATTGTCATTACTATTAGTTAGGCACGAAAGGAAAGGTTACAGAGCTGGTGATTAGGACACTTAGCGTTTCGGCTCTCAGGACGCCTTTGAGCCTCAGTTGATCCCGAGGTCCACACACTCCCTGGGTCATGCGTGGCCTCAGAACTCTCTCCATCAGAGAAGGTCAAAATTCATGATGTTTTGGTTTTTCCTGTTAGACAAATGGGGAGGACCTCCCTTCCGCAAGCATTTCCAGAGGCCCCTCGGCCAAAAAGGGAGTCAGGCCCTACGTTCTCTGCGGTGGAGGGTACCCCCAAAACCTCGCTCCTTTGATGTCCCCCAGTGTCAAGCTGGCGGTCCCACCAGCCTCCTGTAGAGGCCTTGACTCCCGCGAGTCACCCGGGGGCCGACAGGTGGGCAGGTGGAGGCGCCGCGCGGCCGGGGGAGCTGTAAGCCGCGCGCACCTGCCGCAGGTGAGACCCAACCGTGCGGAAGGGGGAGGAGCCGTCGCCGCAGCACTCAGGTGAGCCGACCCCCGGCTCCCGGGACCTAAGGCGAGGGCAGCCGCGGGCTTCAACGTGGCCGCTGCCAGGCGACCTATGCTGCAGACTGCGGCCCCGGCGGCTCCGAGTCCCGCGCGGCGCGGCGGCCCCAGGAGAACATTCGAGGCAGCAGCGGCGTTGTAGGCCCGGGGTCCGTTCGGTATTTGAATAGCACAAAGGAACCGCCTTGGTCTGATTGGCCAGCTAAGTAGCCCCGGGGCGGGCAGCGCCTGTCACTCGGGAGGCTCTCAGAGCTCCTATTGGCTCTTCTCATGTGGGGCGGGGCCCGGGCACCCGGCTAAATAGCTGGGGCCGGGGCCGGCCGCGACTCATTGCTTTGGCGCCGTCTGGGGAGCGCGAGCCCGCGGGTGGCGCGCAGCGCATGGTGGCGGCTCCTCTCGGAGCACAGCCGAACCGCTGACCCGGACTCCGTTCCCCCTGCCCGGCGCGCCCCGGCGGCCGGCTGGAGGCAGAAACAGCAGCAGCGTTAGCAGCAGCAGCGGCGGCGGCTGCTCCGCCGCCGTCTCCGCGGGAGCATGGAGTGCGCCCTGGACGCCCAGAGCCTGATCAGCATCTCCCTGCGCAAGATCCACAGCTCCCGAACCCAGCGCGGCGGCATCAAGCTGCACAAGAACCTCCTGGTGTCCTACGTGCTCCGCAACGCGCGCCAGCTCTACCTGAGCGAGCGCTACGCCGAGCTCTACCGGCGCCAACAGCAGCAGCAACAGCAGCAGCCGCCCCACCACCAGCACCAGCACCTAGCGTACGCGGCGCCGGGCATGCCGGCCAGCGCGGCCGACTTCGGCCCGCTCCAACTTGGTGGCGGCGGGGACGCGGAGGCGCGCGAGCCGGCCGCCCGGCACCAGCTGCACCAGCTCCACCAGCTCCACCAGCTGCACCTCCAGCAGCAGCTGCACCAGCACCAGCACCCGGCGCCCAGGGGCTGCGCGGCGGCGGCGGCGGCCGGAGCGCCCGCGGGCGGCGCGGGGGCGCTCTCGGAGCTGCCCGGGTGCGCCGCGCTCCAGCCGCCGCACGGCGCGCCCCACCGCGGGCAGCCCTTGGAGCCTCTGCAGCCGGGTCCTGCGCCGCTGCCGCTGCCGCTGCCACCGCCCGCTGCGCTCTGCCCGCGGGACCCTCGCGCCCCGGCCGCCTGCTCCGCGCCCTCCGCGCCCCCAGGGGCCGCCCCTCCGGCCGCCGCCGCTTCTCCGCCCGCCTCCCCGGCCCCCGCCTCCTCCCCCGGCTTCTACCGGGGCGCATACCCGGCCCCCTCGGACTTCGGCTTGCACTGCAGCAGCCAGACCACCGTGCTGGACCTAGACACTCACGTGGTGACCACGGTAGAGAACGGCTACTTGCACCAGGACTGCTGCGCCTCCGCCCACTGCCCCTGCTGTGGCCAGGGCGCTCCGGGACCGGGCCTGTCGTCCGCCGCCGGCTGCAAGCGCAAGTATTACCCTGGCCAGGAGGAGGAGGAAGACGACGAGGAGGACGCGGGCGAGCTGGGGGCCGAGCCCCCCGGGGGCGCCCCATTCGCCCCCTGCAAGCGCGCCCGCTTCGAGGACTTCTGCCCGGACTCGTCCCCGGACGCGTCCAACATCTCAAACTTGATCTCCATCTTTGGCTCCGGCTTCTCGGGGCTCGTGAGCCGACAGCCGGACTCCTCGGAGCAGCCGCCGCCGCTCAACGGGCAGCTGTGCGCCAAGCAGGCGCTCGCCAGCCTCGGCGCCTGGACTCGAGCCATTGTCGCCTTCTAGGGACCCCCGAGGGCACAGGGACCCGGGGCCCCGCGGGGCTGGGGCCAGACAAAGACTCGGCCAAGGGGCGAGAGGGGGGAACGAGCGGGCGCCGGGCCACTCGGGGCTGAGCTGAGGGCGAGCAGGGGCAGGCGGCTGATGTTTTATAAATTGTAAAATAAAAAAAAGAAATCTAAAATCTTGGACTTTATTTTTGCAGAGAGAAAAGCGCCTATTTAAGTATGCTTTGTGTTTCTCCTACTCTTTTTTTCTTTTTATTGTAGTGATTGCAGTGGTGTTTAGCGAGGAGCCTGCCACGTGAGGGAGGGCTGCTGCCCGGAGAAGCTGCCGGGCAGCCGGGGGCGAGGCAGGGCGCCCTGGCCGCCGGGGCGCGCTGGGGGCGCAGCGCAGGAGGGCGCGGGACCCGGGACGCCGATTCCAATCAGTTGTCAGACCCGGGAAGCCCGACGTTCCGCTCTCCCAAGTCTCTCTGTGGGGTGAGGAATGGGTCTTGTGAAATTCTGAGCAAAAACAAAGGCAAACTATCTCCGAAAGGGACGTTTGGGTCACATTTCCTCTCTGGGGGCGGACTCCAAAGTTCTCAAAATGAGAAGGCAGAAATGAAAACACTTCAACTTTTTTTTTCTTTTCTTCCCGGGGCGGGTGTCTTGAACCCCTCTTCTCCCCGCCCCTCTGGCTCCGTTCTCCTCCCCTCCTCCACCCGTCTCCCGGACTCGGGGGTGGCGCCTGACACCCCGACACTCTCGGACACTGTTTGGGTAAGGGGTGGGGGGCGGGCACGGCGGACTACATTTCCCATCATGCCCAGCACTGCGGTCCTCGCTAAACAAAAAAGGAAGTCAATTCCTTCACCTGGATCCCCGGCGGCCCCGGGGGAGGGAGGGGCCGGGACCGCCGACTGCGTTGGAGACTTTGCACTAAGTTCCTGGTCAGCTGTGGTGTTTGTGTGTGTGCTTCTAAGTTGCACTGCCTTGGTTCAGCCTTCGGTTGCATTTCATGAAACCAGCATTGTTCGAGCCTGTGAGAACCCCGTCCTGTGTCTTCAGCTCGATAGATTTGTTTAATTTAAAAGCCTTTTGTTGTAAAAAGGTGGGGTTCGTCTGCAGCCCCTCTGGTTCTCTGCCATCAGCACCGTGTGGACTCCAAAACAAGTTGCCAACCCTTCCTTTCTCGGCCCTTTTCCCTCATTGCCCTGTATTTTTGTGCATACGGAATTGTATATCACCGGGTAAAACTGTTCAGATTGTTTAAATTTATAATCTTAATAAAAAGTCGATTACAGAAGATGGTGGTGCCTTGTTTTCAGATCTGTCGGGGGGGGTCAGAGAGGATAGAGAGGTGTGGGGAGAGACCCCCCGCCCCCATGTAAACCCCAGTTCTCTTGGGCCTGGGCGGGCGGGATCTGCCCACATCCGCAAGGTCGGCGGTGGGAGAAAGCGGGGTGATGTTGGTGGCTGGGGATGAAGCGGGTGCTGCGCGTCTCTCGGCCGCCCCAGCCCCCGCTCCAGGGGGGTCCTGTACCCCACGGGAACCGGCCGCCCCGGGGTCTCCAGCGGGAAGCGGAGCCGGCCTCCAGCACATTTCCTGCCCAGGCAGAGGCGCAGGGCCTGGTGGGCCTCGAGTCTGAGCTCTCTGTGGCCGAGGAAAGCAGCCGGGAGACGCTGGGGGTTTCAGGGCCACCAGCACTCCCTGCCCCGCGCCTCCGCCCGCACGTCTGCATGTCTCGGGCTGCAACTTGGGGAAGTTTTTTCCTTTTCTTTTTCCTTTTTTTTTTTTTTTAAGTTGAGTTTGTTATCACTGCTCGGTGCCACTTGGTGGTGTGCTGGCGGCGTCTCCCTCCCTCCTCGCGCCCCTCCCCTCTCCCTCTCCCTCTCTCCCACCCGCCGCTCTTCCCTCCCCAGTGGATGGAGGCAGGAAGGCTCCCGGCGCGCGCTCCCCTCTGACCACCTACGGAATGACCTCAGAGTGGGAGAATGTGCCAAGGCCCGGGGGAAGCTCGCGTTCTCCCCACTGGAAACAAATTCACATCTGGAGCCGCGGCTTGGGCCCGGGGGCGCGCAGGATGGTTCCAGCTTTGCAAAGAGGGGTTAGGAAAGAAAGAATAAGAAAAAGAAAGCAAAGTGGCAGCCTGCTGGCTGTTTGCTGCCGACTCCCCACAGCTCCTCGCTCTCGCTGGCTCCCTCGCCCCCACACTGCCCTCGCCGGTGCGAGCCCCGCAGCCACCCCGCAGGACGCTCGCGCCCCCCACCCCAGCCTTCGCGCCTCCCTCAGCGACAGGAGGGGCTGCCGCTAAGAGGCTCCCAAGCCAGACTCCGAGAGGCAGACGCAAGTCCGGCCCCGGGGACTGCCCGGCTCTGGATCCCGGTGTCGCGCGAGGCGAAGTTCTTGGGGACACTCTCCAGAACGCGGGGGTCGGCGGAGGTCCGCGATGGGGGTGGGGGAAAAGGAGGCTCTGGGGGCGTGAGTCGCGGGGAGGAAGGGCACCTGCACCCCCAGGGCTGCTTCCTCGGCCTCCCACGGGAAGAGTCTGAAGCTGCCGAGGAGGGGGAACAGTGCGTCTCTCCTCCCTCCCCATTTTCCCCTGCAAGTCCAAGGAAATCGCGGTTGGCTGCACGGTTTTGCTTCAATCCACGAAGCCAGTTGCCAGAGCTCCCCCTAGCGCCGCTTCGGGCGCGCTGCAGTGGCTGGGGCTGGGAGTGGGCGAGGCTCGGCGGGGGCGGCGGGGCTGCCGGGGGCTGCTTCGCGACCACCCGGGAAGCTGCGCGGAGTCTGCACCCCGCCCTGGCCTGAGCTGGGCCCCGGAGCCGCGTGCGTCCCCACTCCAGGCCTGCGTCGAGGAGGGGCACGTGGTCGGCCCCCTTTGTTGGGAGCTGGGCACTGGAAGGGACCGGCCAAAGAGCTTGGGAATTCCCCACCCGCCCCAGGGATCCCTATGGTAAAGGAGAGTGGATGGTGGAGTGCGAAATAAGACCTCTGAACTCAGCAGGACCCCAGACGAGGGCTCTTCTCCCTCTGCCGGGTGATCTGAGCCTAAGCCGCACATTGGAATCTAGCAAAGCCAAGGAATGGGATGGGGCGCTCTGGGAGCACCCTAAAGAGAGGTGCCCTTCCCCCTCCCTTATCTTCTCAGGGCCCAAGGACCTGGGCAGCCCCACAAAGGGTTAGTGCCCTGAGTATAATTCCCCTTGACCCAAAACGCAGCCCACTGGCAATCTACCCGTCTCACCAAGACATTCCACACAAAACTGTAACAGGCTGCACAGCCTTGATTCTACACTACAGCCCACACTGAGGGCCACACCCAGCCACACACTGTCTCCAACACTTGATCCTAAGCTGCATCCTCACCCCAATCACAACCCTGGGGCCACTGGCACAGCAGGAAACATACCAGCCTAGAACATCCAGAGAGACCGATGTTCCCGTGCATAGCACAAGTGAGAGGCTGCACAAGTGAGAGGCTGCGTCCGGGAGGCAGGTGGATGGGGGTGCCTGGCCATGGGGGTTGTCTGAAAGGGGGATGGGATCAGGCGGGCAGGCAAACCAGGAGTCTATCTCAGCTCCACAGACAAGCCATTCTTCCTCCAGTAAAAAGACCAATGGAGCCCCCAGACAGGACTTAGGGGTGCTGCTTAGGGAGGCAGGGAAATGAGAAGAGACTGGGTGCCCAGGGGATGACAAGGGGGAGCTTCCAGAGATCAGCAGCTCTAGAAGCAAGAGCTCCAGCAAGTCCCTGGTCCTCCTAGGTTTACCAGCTCCCCTCAACACACTCCCCCAGGCTCCTAGGACACCACAGGTCCTGCCGCCCTTGATACGTGGTGTAGGGCTGAGTCAGGCTCCAAGCTGCGCTCCCAGCAACATGGAGCTGCTGGGATGAGAGCCCAGAGACTCAGAGCTGCAGGTTGCCCTCCAGAGAAGCCAGGGGTGGGGATGCCTCGGACTCCCAGGGGAGTCACTGCGCAGGGCACTGAGATCTGTGTGCTCTGTGTGTGTGTGTGTGTGTGTGTTACAGCAAGAAAGAGTGTGTGTGACTGTGTGTCCCTCTGGCACAGGGGATGCACACCAGGAGCTGTCCCTCCAATCACCGGACAATATTTACGAAGCTCCCACTTGGTGCTTGGCCTGTGTGAGGCACTGATCTGACCACAGCGAACAATAGCGGCAAAGGACGAGAACAGCAAGCCTCTCTCTCTGGATTAGCTCGTTTCATTTTTGCAGCTACCCTCTGAGGTAGAGACTGCGAGCCTCCTCATTTCAGAAATGAGAAACCTCGCACAACTGAGAGGTGGCCAGTTTCTACTGTTGGAGCTCACAGTTGAGTGGGTAAGAATTTGTAACATTACATTGCCAGCTGGCAAATGAATCTGAGGTTGTCTAAACAGTCAGATTGATAAGTCCCAGCTGAACCGAAACAGGGTTCTGGGATCTCTTGATCCCTGAACTAGCTGGTTGGGAACACACACCTCACCCCGATACTTCATGCTGCAGTTTCCAGGGACAGGGATGAAGAGACACACAGCACAGTGGTGTCTGTACCCACCTCACCCAAGGCAGAGCCCTGTTTCCTGAAGACTCACTTGTGGTAGGGGACAGCAGCACCACTGGCACCAGCCTGGGCAAAAGGTGGGATTTCTTGGCTCAAGGCACTAAATTGTGCAGTGGGTAGGGGCACAGCTGGCTTCAGGCACAGTAGGATCCAGGCACAGATCTTTTCCAAGATGCTATCTCTCCATCTCCTGTGACTTTCTTCTTTGCACTCAAGCTTCCCACTGTAGCCAGAGGAGGCAGCTCCCGGCCTCCCATTCTCACAGCTTTGCCACCCAAGAGGGACTGCCTTCTTCCCTTATTTTCAAGTCAGAAGATCCCAGGGGAAAACAAAAGCATTGGCCTGGGCGCAGTGGCTCACGCCTGTAATCCCAGCACTTTAGGAGGCTGAGGTGGATGGATCACGTGAGGTCGGGCGTTTGCGACCAGCCTGGCCAACATGGTGAAACCCCGTCTTTACTAAAATTACAAAAATTAGCCGGGTGTGATGGCGCGCACCTGTAATCCCAGCTACTCAGGAGGCTGAGGCTGGAGAATCACTTGACCCCCAGGAGACGGAGGTTGCAGTGAGCCAAGATTGTGCCATTGCACTCTAGCCCGGGCCACAGAGCAAGACTCCATTTCAAAAAGAAAAGAAAATCCCAGGGAAAGGCTGTAATGTCCTAAGCCAGGACATGAGGGGTGATTAGTCGCTAGCGCCCACTGGAAGCTCACAGAAGCTTCTCAGAAAAGGAGTGTGGTTGGTACTGGCTGGCAGACCCAAGATGTCCTTCAGAGAGAGGGGCTGCAAGCCGAGATAAGGGAGGTGTCTCGCTGTGGAACTCGGAGCACAGGCACGGCTGCTTCAGCACCTGGGCAACAACGCAGTCAACGCAGCCAACGCAGCGCTGGAAGGGGAACACCCTCCCTGCTCCTGGCCAAGATAAAGAGGCTCCAGGGCCATCTGGTGCCTCCTAGTTTTGTCACTCAGGAATCACCAGGGGACGGGAGGCCGAACAAGGTGGCTGGATTTTTCCAGCAGGCTCCATGGCCAGGGCAGCAACAGGGGCCACCCTCAGGGGACTTACGGCAGGGATAGCTGTAGGGAGACCAAAGCAGAACTTGGCTGGGAGCTTACATGTGGCTCCTCAAGGGACTCCCAGATATAACTGCAAAGGCTTCGAGGGCAGGCCAAGATGCTAGCCAGCAGGATGGGGCTGGAGTGGCCGCGGGAAAGGTTAACACGGCCACCAGGATGTCCCCATCTGGTAGGGCCTGGGGATGTCTGGGGTACAGGTGACCTTGGCTATTCATATGTTTAGAGAAAAAAGACTGAATACAAGTTCAAAAATGCTGAAATGGTTATTACTAGGTGGGCAATTACAGGAGACCTTTATTTCATCATTCATACATCTCTGTATTTTCCAAATTTTCTACAATAAGCATGTATCACTTTTGTATTTACAAGAAAAATGAACAGTACATCAGAGAAAAATGTGACATGACAGGTGCTACAATCGATGTCCAGCGTTCTACGGAGCAGAGAGGAGGGAGCAGCTAGGTCCAACCTGGCTAGGGCAAGGCTCAACCCTGAGAAACAGTCCTCTACCAGACAGCCTTGGTCAATGGGAATCCACACTCCTGTCCTCTGTTTTTTTTTTGTTTTTTTTTAAGAGGTGTGAGACAAAACAACAAGCTCATCTCCAGGACATGATTGAGGAGCACCGTGGAGGGAGTCTCGTTCCTTCTACTCTCTCATC